AATGGTAGACGATTCTCAGTAAAAAAGAAAGAAAAGGAAAAGAAAAAAAGAAAAAAATAGTAATAATAATGATAATAATAATAATTATGATGACAATAATAATAACAATAATAATAATCCCAGAAAAGTAACACAACCTCACATTAACCCAGACCCCCCTTCCCCTTCTCCCCCTTCTACAGGTATCCCGAACGGTCATACACCCCAAGTACGACTCGACGACCGTGGACAACGACGTGGCCCTCCTGCAGCTGCCCGAACCCGTGTCCATGAACTCCCGCATAGCCCCAGCCTGTCTTCCTGAACAAGGGACAAACCTACCTGTGGGAGACACGTGCACGATCATCGGATGGGGGAAGGAGAGGAACACACACTTCTTCGGGACAGATGTTCTCCACGAAGCTGAGGTAGTAGTGGTGGTGAGGGAGAGGAAAGAGGGAGAGGATGGGAGGGAAGGGGGGAGGGATAGGAAGAGGGTGGGAGGGAGGAAGAGGGAGAGAGGGATAGGGTGGGAGAAGGAGGATGTTGGTGTAGAGTGTGGTGGTGAGGGAGAAGAAGAGAGGGATGGGAGGGATAAGGAGAGGGTGGGAGAAGGTGGAAGGTAGGTAGATGAGGTAGCAGTAGTGGAAAGGGAGAGGAAGAGAGGGATAGGAGGAGGGGGGGAGGGGACAGGGAGAGGGTGGGAGGAATTGATAGATAGGAGGGATGGAGAGGGAAAGGGAGGGAGAAGGGTGGATGAAACAAGGGAGGATGTGGTGGAGCTGGTGGGAGGGAGGGAGAGGAAGAGAGGGAAGAGGATGCTAGCGAGCGAGGAAGGGAGAGGGTTAGAATAGGAGGGAGGAAAGGGAGAGGGAAGGAGGCAGGATGGGACGGAAGCGAGAAAGAGAGGATATGAAGGAGGAAGGGAGAGAGGGAGGGAGAGGAAAGTAATAAGAAGGAGGAAGAGAGGAAGAACGAAGGAGAGGGAGAGGGAGGAAGGGAAAGGGAGAAGGAGGAAGGATGGGAGAGAAGGAGGGAGGATGGGAGATGGAGGGAGGAAGGGAGAGAGAGGGATAGAAGGAGAAAGGGAGGGAGGGAAGAAGGGAGAGAAAGGGAGGATGGAACAGGGGGATATGAGGGAGAGGAGAGGGAAGGGACAGGGGAGGAGAGGAAGAGAAAGATAGGAAGAAGGGAAGGAGGGAGAGAAAGGTAGAGTGAGGATTGAAGAGAGAGGGAGGGAGGAAGAGAGATAAGGAGGGAGGAAGGGAGAGGGAGGATTGGAAGAGGGAGAGGGTGGGAGGAGGAAATGAGGGAGAGGAATGAAGGGAGGGAGGATGAAGGGAGAAGAGGAGAAGGAGAGAGAGAGAGAGAGAGAGAGAGGAGAGAGAGAGAGAGAGAGAGAGAGAGAGAGAGAGAGAGAGAGAGAGAGAGAGAGAGAGAGAGAGAAGAGAGAGAGAGAGAGAGAGAGAGAGAGAGAAGAGAGAGAGAGAGAGAGAGAAGAGAGAGAGAGAGGAGAGAAGAGAGAGAAGAGAGAGAGAGAGGAGAGAGAGAGTGTGTGTGTGTGTGTGTGTGAGTGTGTGTGTGTGTGAGAGAGAGAGGGAGAGGAGGAGGGGCAGATAGACTTAAGAAGAACAGAGAGGGAGTGCAAAAAAAAAAGATTAAAAGAAACAGGGAATGGACAGATAATAAAGATTGGAAAACAAGAAAAATAACAAAAGCCCAAAATAAGAAAGGGAGACACATATGGCACAGATAGACAAGCACAGACAGAGTGATGGCACATTCTTTAAAACAAACATTCAATTTTTAAAATGAAGCAACCATATCCACACGGCACGAACAATACATAATAATGATCTATTTCATGAGTATTAATATCCATTTACGAGTATCTGTTAATCGCATTTCTGAAGGAGGAAAGAAGAAAGAAAGAAAGAGAGAGAGAGAGAGAGACTCGCCCAGCAATGGCCTCTGTCTAGCAGGTACTGGCACAAAAAAGATCTCTTACCTGGTGCTTCAAGATTGCTTCGTTTTCAGTCGTCACGTGTTCAAGCTTATATTCTGTGTTTTTTGTGTTGTCACCCAAGTCTTTTGCAGTCGGAATAATTATGATTCAGTAGATGATTCAGGCAGTGAAATGAGAGATATGGCATAGTTGATGAAGGAAATACACAGTGCATGTTAATAATTTTTGCCTTCTTGAGTAGTTAATTTCAGTTAAAATGACAAAGATATGGTTGATCAAGTAAATAAACATATTAATAGCAGTTGGGTTTACTCCATTTTGTCAGTTTATCATAACAGATTTTTTTCTCTCTCTCTCTCCTCGACAACTTTTAGGTTCCCATCATAGCCAGCAAAGCATGTGAGACAGTGTACGAAGACTACTACATCACCTCCAACATGTTCTGCGCAGGATACCTGGAGGGCAGAGTGGATTCCTGCGCGGGAGATTCAGGAGGTCCCCTGCTGTGCCAAAGACATGGCCGTTGGTAAGAGTCGCGCGTCATAAGTAGTTGTGAGAAAACCGTTTAATGCTTCTTAGATTCTAAACCATGCGTAGGATTCGTGTTGAACAAATTGAGAGTAGGATAACGAAGGGAAGAACAAGAAGAGACATGAATATACATTTTCGCTTAAATGGAGAAGCAATAAAGCGAAAAGTTCTTCGTTATTTTCGTTTTGTTCTTCCCTTCGTTGTTCAAGTTGCAATTCTCAACCTTACATTCCATAATCAAACCGTAACATATAATATCTCAAAATACTGAATATTTTCCCTTTTTTTACTCTACAGGTACATATATGGAATAACTTCCTTCGGCGAGGGGTGTGGAAAGAAAGGCAAATTTGGCATTTACGCAAGAGTTTCGAACTACCGCCATTGGATACAGTCTGTTGTCGCAAGTCCCGACTTCTGAATTGTACATTAGACGTCAGGGTTGTTAAGTAATTCGTAATTCCGCTGAAAATCTCATACTGTTATCTTCAGTGTATTGCGTATGTGCTTGTATATAGTGGACCAAGGCGGAAGGGTATGCACTTTACTGTATATATATTTGCATGGTACGTCCGTCTTTAATGCCACGCGGAAGAAAAACGTCGATTCACGTCGAACTCATTTCTTGCAAATAGGACATTCGAAAGATATATATGCCAATTGCAAATACGCCCGTAATACGTATATCTGTGCATACGGAAACATTTTAGTGATATTGGTCCCACTGTGCGGTCACATGGATGTAAAACTGTACTTGAAGACTGAGTGAAAAAAAAAATATTTTCTTAATGTATATAATGTATGAAGCATTAATACGCGGTCACAAGATAGACCATAGGTCATTTATGCTTGATTAAAGATATATATATATATATATTATCATTCCACAAACAGACCTGTTATGTTGTTGTCAATTACATGTATATAATGCAGTACATAGCGTTTATGAGAACTGGTTTGTGCTTGTTGAGTTTGGTGTTTACGTTCAAGATTATATTCGGAATGTGGAGAGGGCCAGTGGTTAGTGTCTAGCCTTAAACTCCTTCAGTAGTCAATATTTTGCCTAGGGAGAGTTTAGGCAACGGCACTGGTTTGGATTGCCTGTCATTCTCAGGGAGTAAATGCCACTTCATGCTTTCACTTCTTGTCTCATCTTTTGAGCTGTTATCTTCTTTATTGTGCCATAAATCGTGCTTCTGCGTTTGAGCAAAGAATAGTCAGCATCATTTTTAATGTCAATTGTTCAGAATCCGGAACAGAAAAATGTGTGTCCATTACTGTTTTTTTATTGTGAACAAAAAACACTGTTCTGGTTTGCTTTGCATATTAACTAAAAGGCAGATAATGTTACCATATGTTTTCTTAATCTGGTTTAGATCATTGCTTGCTGCCATTGTAAACTCGTTATCCTATATATAACATACTGTATATATAGCTTTATGGTGCCCTTAAAACAGTTATATTTTTGCAGTATATTGTGTATAATGTATTTATGTTTGTTAATGGAGGTTCCTAATGTAGTCCCAACTCAATAGCATTCTTGTCCCTTGTACATTGTAATAAATGACACATTTTACTACAATCTAATTTGAATAAGAAACAAAAGTTTATACTTAAACACACCACTTGTTTCACCAACTTTTGTGTTGCTTCATTAATTGTGTGTGAAAATAACTACCGTTACTCTACTTCAGGTACTTTTATGGACATGTTCAGTACTCTAAGACTTAAAAAGTAATTGACTTTCATACCTTTTATCAACTTCATCAATTAACATTAAAGGTTATATATGGTATATATGACCTGTTTAACACAACTTCAGTGATTTGGTTTTTAAAGGTGCTTAGAACGGATGAGACTTCTAATGCAACCACTGTTATACTTCCACCTAACACGATCTTCTGCAATGTCTCTGACGACAAAAAAGTTCTTATTACATGTAGAGTCCTTTTTCTTTGGAAGTTATGCAGACTTAAATGTTCATGAATAATTCTACATTCTACAAGTTCCTTTGTTATCATTACTCCATGTCTGCATATGGTAACAATGGCATATTGATTGTCTAAATGGAATAATCCTGAATCCATAAAAGGCTAACAAATATCCGAAGGTAATTGAAGATATAAAAAGTAAAATTATTAATTCTATCCCCATATGTAATTTGTACCCACACATGCCATGCTGTGAGATGAAATGAAGCTTGATTCCAAAGTGATATAAAAGTTATATTCTTGGAGTAATAAGTAATATTAAAGATGCTGTCAGTGATTTAAGATGCTGGTAGTTAGGCTTATGGAATGAAGGAAAATATGTACTTATCATAATTCATCTTTTCGGTGTAACTCTATATATAATAAAAAAGTAAGTAAAAAAAGAAAAGAACTGAAAACTTTCAGCCAAAATGCACTTTTGTTTACGTCTAAATATGCAAAGGCAATTTAATATAGTTTCAAAGATCTATTCATGAAGGACAAGTGGTTATTAAAAAAAAAAAAAAAAAAAAGATGAAAAAAAGAAGCATCCAAATAAGGGAGTTTCTGTATTACACGAAGAAGGGCATCCCCGACTTGTGCCAGTTATGAGGGGCAAATGGTCTTAAATATCAATATTGTAACTGATTTTTGTACAAACAGATGGACATGTATGCATTCTTTTTCAAGGTAATTGGCATGCATAGGTGTTCATTGAATTATTGATTGTATTAGAGGTTAACTGACTGCCAGGTTTAACTTTTAAGTGATTGTAATTAGCTTGTGTTATATGGATTATCGTAACTTGTGACTTTAATGTATGATTGATTTACTTACTGTGATTGAGAAATTTGCAGAAATATGTAACATATCTTGTTCCCAATCTCAGAATATTAAAAGCTGAGTGTTGTTGGTGGCTAGGTATAGAATGTAAAATAATGATATACTGAGTTTTCTATTTCCAAATATTTACTTTGCTTATTAGAATATATCCCAAGAATGAATTATATTTATTTGGTATCAGTGTTTGTACTTTTTCATAATAAAGTAATGGTAACATTTCTCTTTTTCCAATAACCTATACATGGAATTGCAGATTCATATTTTACCTTCAAAAACATGAAAGCATAACATCTTTTTTCTTGCAGTCTTATTATTCAGACTGGTAATAGGAAAATCTGCTCCATGACAAGCAGTTTTCCTTCATTTTCATTCAAAGTAATTCTTACTTGAATTGTTGTCATACGCTGCTGACCATTTTTTTAGTTACACTTTCCACCCAAAGACATGTATTATTAAAGTCCTCTTTGTTAATTAAAGATATATATGATCAGTGTGAACTTTGGGGATTTTTCATGTCACCAAGCATAAATTTCAGCATTAAAGTATGTAAGCATAATGAAATACTCTTAATTAATAATTTAGAAATGATTACCTTGACCCAAGTATCTCCACTGAGGGATATTTGTAACTGAAAAGTGACCGCGGTATTTATATTTATTTTTTTTTTTCTTTGTATTTCATCTATCACATAAGACCACGGCTCATTCAAAGGAAAATCTGCTCCATTACAAGCAGTTTTCCTTCATTTTCATTTAAAGTAATTCTTACTTGAATTGTTGTCATACGCTGCTGACCAGCTTTTTTAGTTACACTTTCCACCCCAAAGACATGTATTATTAAAGTCCTCTTTGTTAATTAAAGATATATATGATCAGTGTCAACTTTGGGGATTTTTCATGTCACCAAGCATAAATTTCAGCATTAAAGTATGTAAGCATAATGAAATACTCTTAATTAATAATTTAGAAATGATTACCTTGACCCAAGTATCTCCACTGAGGGATATTTGTAACTGAAAAGTGACCGCGGTATTTAATATTTTATTATTTTTTTCTTTGTATTTTCATCTATCACATAAGACCACGGCTCCTTAGGAAGGGTTGATTTTGAGCTCTTAACAGCTTCCTCATCTGAGAAAGTTGTTATATAAAGATGTTACAATTCCTGTGTTCTCTTCATAACATTAATATGAGATGCCCTCACAGTAGTTATCTATAACAGGTTAGCACCGACGGATCTCATACTTTAACAAAATGTTCTCTAGGCTCAATTCTCGAAAAATATGTTGCCCTAATACCAGTCTACATTGTACTCCTTAAATGTGCAGTAAGCATACAAATAAAATAACACAACTGGCAACAGAAAAAAAGAACACTGTCTAATGCTAAAAAATCAATATAAAAATTATTTTCTTCTTTCACACCAGAAGACTTCTATGATGCTACTGTACCTCAAAAGAAATTGAAAGAAAATCATTTTACATAAACAAGACAGCTAAGGAAGAATGAAAGAGAAAAAAATGTGAGACAGAGAAAAAATGTAACAAAAAACATCACACCTCTACATATATTTTACATGCTGTAATTTCTCAGAGACATGCTGATGCCTTAAACAATTGTCTAGTCTCTCTCAATCTCATTGTTATAATAAGCGCATCTGTGATAATTACTTTCTCAATGCAGTTATGTGACAAAAAACAGCAATATGAACAAACATATAAATTTTCATAGATTATTATTACTACTACTCTGTTCACAAACAGATAACAGTGTTATGATAATGTGTGAAAGCATTATTCATATCATTAATATCATTACCTTATATATAGCATTTTTGTTCACAAACATCCCCAACCTTATGATGACAAATTACTTTTCTTCAATTATGGTTTAATAAGTAGACAGGAACACTCTTGCAAATAAAAAATAATTTTCAGGAAACACTATTGCCTTGCAAAAAACATATTGAGCATCTGATTTCTTTTACAACAAAACTATCATATACAATATCAATGGCTGGTAAATATCAATACATGTACACACATTTATGGGTGGGGGGTATGGGGATGCACGTGTGTGTGCACATAGGGATGTGTATATCCGATTTTTCACTTTCTTTGTTCCTTTTTATCTGCTTTTCAAATCTTTGTATCTCATTATAGAAATAATCGTAATTACTAACAAAAATATAACAGAGAATCAGTCTGTCCAATAAATTATTATAAGGATTAGTCCAGTATACAATACATAACTAATGTCCATGCAAACTCATGCATGTATTCTTTCAATTTGCTGGAATTAGCTATCAAAAACAAATCTTCATTTATGAGAATATTTCTTTATTTCTTACAAGCTTCATTCATTACATGACAAAGAACTGCCATGTTTTATCTACTGAAACTCCTAGATAATATACAATAATTACAATATGAAAAAGTATATGATAATCAAAAGTGTCAATTTTCTGTATTTTGTATCCAGTTAAACTGACTTGCACTTCATGAAAAACCATGTAATACTTCAAAAATCTACCTGTGCACAACGGAAGATCTGAGATAAATGTTTAATTAATATACAAGTTCCCATTTACCACATTCTTTACATAAAAATCATTAGGATGATCCAGTACCACGAAACATCCCAAAATTGATGCACACATAACATCTCATCCAAGTATACGCATAAAAACTATTTTCGAATAACCTCCTGTTTCACCTATAATGTGATTTCATGAAACAGCTCTGGAGGTACCCCTTATGCAGCCCTGCTTTGTTCCTCGTGCCATTTGTCATCACTGGCAGCATTTTTGGCAAGGACATGGAAGAAAAAAAATGAACTCAATACCTCCATTTTCAAATTCAGAAGTTTTTTCCTCTTTAAAAATAGATTCAACAAACATTGCGTATGGCAAGCCACCCGTAAGACCCAAGGCTTCCATAGAACAGTAACTGGAGGTACATCTGCCTTCCGAGTTTAGTACAGATGAATGGCACTGTGAGAACACTAAAGAACAGGAAGGAAGAGAGAGTTGACCAAAGCTTTAGTGACGTCTTTTGGCCATTCAACCGCTCTTCAACTGTGTTTCGTTTCTCACTATCTGAGGTGAAGAAGTTCTCCGCCAGTCTGTTGAAAGTCCAATTGTCAGTTACTCTGTATGCGGGTAAACGTGCAACAAGGCAATGAATATTCAACCTTAAAATTATACCTCCAGATAACAAAGAACTAAATATATATGTGTGTAGTATGCGAGTGTGTGAGCAAGCGTTAGTATGAGTGAGTGTGCGCAATGAGAGAAAGAGAGAGCATGTATGAGTGAGTGAGTGAGAGAGTAAATGAGAGAGCGAGTGAGTGAATGAGATCATGCATGAATGAGTGAGAGCATACATGAGTGAGTATGAGCAAGTGTTTGTGAGGGGACTTCATACATTACACTTCATACTGTTTACATCAACATGAAAATATGACAAAATAATAAGCAAGGGTAAAGTGTACACAGAACGACCTGCAGCAGTTTGCACAGGGGTTCTGCTAACCAAGAATTCTTAATACAGCAAGAACTGTCCCATCCCTACTTTAAAAAATCTACTAATTGGTCAGACATGAACTAAGAACACTCCAGTCCTGTCATGACCAAAACAAAGAAACAGGCAAGATAAATTTCAACTGTGATGAAGAAAGGAAGAGAAAATGCTTGCTGAGTGGCCACACACTGCACAGGGAGGGATATCGTTAGCTACACTATTAGCAAGTTGTTTGTGTCTGTACTACTACAACTAATAATAATAATAAACAATAACAATACCAATGACAACAACAAAAATAACAATGACCTTAATAATAACAGTGGTAACAATAACAATAATAATAATAATAATCACAACGATTATATCAACATTCATATCAGCAACATCAATGATCATGATAATAATAATAATAATGATAATAATAATAATAATAATAATAATAACAACAGCAATAACACAAATAATAATCACAATAACAATACCAATACCAATACCAATAATAAAAAAAAATAATAATAATAATAATAATAATAATAATAAATAATAACAATAACAATAATAATAAATAATAATAATAACAACAATAACAATAATAATAACAATAATAACAATCAAAAAAAAAAAAAAAAAAAAACACCAACACTAGCAACAACAATAACTGAATCCCCTCGGGCAAAACTTACTCGTCTTTATCCTGATAGAGCTTAATCATCCATTCTCCGAGTTTCTCCTCCTCCCTCGGCACTTCAGACATGGGGATGCGCCTGATGTGTATGTGGACCTTCTTACACTTTCCCATCAGGAACCCTGGACGCACACACAAGCAAACAAACGAAATATAAAAACCTGATTTATAATTCTACAATCTGTGGCTAAATAAACTTCAGTTTAGATCAATTTCCTTGTTTTCTTCTGTCTTGCTTTTTTCTCTCGCTTTTTGCTGCGATTCTCTATATTTGAACTTGCAAGAAATGAAAATGCATTTAATTATAATGGTGATAATTATGACTATACTCCCTCTAAAAGAAAGAAAGAAAGAAAGAAAGAAAGAAAGAAAGAAAGAAAGAAAATGAAAGAAAGAAAGAAAGAAAAAAAGGAAAGAAAGAAAAAGAAAGAAAGAAGAAAGAAAGACAAAGAAAAAGAAAGAAAGAAGAAAGAAAGACAAAGAAAAAGAAAGAAAGAAAGAAGAAAGAAAAGAAAGAAAGAAAAAAAAGAAAGATAAAAACACGCAAGTCTATGAAAATGCTATCATAGAGCTTTCACAATATACATAACTGTACTATCAATCTTACCTATAAGCTGTGGTGCGTTTCCTCTGATGCCTTGCTCATTCACAGTCCCCTCATAGAACACAGACACGTCATATACGGCATCCAGCTTATCATGTAACTGTTTGGTGACTAACCACGTTCCTCGGGTTTTCGGGACCAAGTGATGCTTCAGCACCTGATAAAATTAAATTCCTTTTATTACATCAATCAACTGTAACATTTCTGTAAAAATAATTATATAGTAATAAAAGAAAGAAAGAAAGAGAGAGAGACAAAGTGGGAAAGAAAGAAAAAGAGAAAGAGAGAGAGAAAGAATATATGTAGGCATGTAGGCATGTAGGCATGTCTGTATGTATGTATGTATGTAAGTATGTATGTATGTATGTATGAATGTGTTAAGTATATAACAATGAAAATAAGAATAACAATAAGAACAAGAATAACAACAACAACAATAATAATGATAATAATACTAATAACAATAATAATAACAATAACAATAACAACAACAATAATAGTAATAATAGTAATAATAATAATAATAATAATAATAATAATAATAATAATAATAATAATAATAATAATAATAATAATAATAATAATAATAACAACTACAATAATAGTGATAATTACAACAATAGTTACAATGATAATAGAAAATAATAATAATAATACTGATAATAATATTAATAATAATAATGGTAACAATCATAATAACAATAATAGTCATACTGATAATTACACTAATAGTAACAATATTAACAAAAACAAAAATAATAACTATTATTATCAATATTATCATAATCATTATCATTATCACAAAGCTAATAATAATATTTATCAATACTATCCTCATTACTATATTAATAATGACAAAATTAATAACCATATTAACAACAATGATAATTTAAAAAAATAACAATAACAACAATATCAATATTCTGAATAAATGAATAAACAGAGGAAAATATCAAATAAGTTACAAATCATATATATATTGCTAACTTTAATTAATTTTTCATCAGTCACCTTATGTGAAACTAACATAAAAATTTTACTTCTAGCATAACTAGCATGATAAGCTATCTGGTTTTGTTGAAGAAATGTTGAACCATCATGCTTTTCTTTCAACATGGTCACAAATCCTTATTCCTCCATAGAAATAACCATAATCTAAATATAACATTTGATAGAAAGAGATCCATATAAAACTCTATTTTTTTTTCTTTATTTTTCTTTTTTGCTCTGTTTTGTATTCTCTCTCTTAAGTGAAATAAAAGATTCCATAACTGCTTGTAGCTTTTGTTCCGATCTATGTATACTTGTTAGTAAAGCAGGCAAGGTGGTGCAGGAGTACAAACATGAAAATACAAGCCCAGGCAATAAGGAAAAGACAAAGCACATGTAGACATTTCCAAAGACTTGACAAAGCACTACTCAAAATATAGAAAAATAAAAATAAAAATATATAAAACAAAATATCACCCTGCATTATGCTGAAAACTTTCTCCATTCTCTACTTTACTGCAAGATCCATACATAAACCCCATTTCATAACATACAGTCATATCATTAGCACTTTTTAAAATTCTAGAACAACTTCATGAATATCCCTACAGAACTTTCAGTATCTTAACTAAAGCCTGACTTTATTATCCAACAGTAATGAAGACTCAGAATGATTTTCCGAAGAACAATTGACTTTCTTATTCTCATACACGACACCATCAAATTAATTTTCTACTGGAAAGATCCTGTAAAACAAATACATAATAAGAATGGGAAATAAACACCATGAATATACCACACCAGAAGTAAACTGTGGCTAAAATCCGCACACAATGAAGCAAAGACAGACTTCTGCCCCACAATGTCTTTTCTGGCTTCTGATACAGAAAAGTTAGCTTATAACAAGGACAATATAACCAGAACCAAATGGCAGAGGGCAAGGCAGTGAACAGAATCTCATAAGGGAAGCGTATGAATCACCAGGACACCCAACCTCAGTTGCAGGACTTGATCAAGTAAATCCTTACTGTTTTCTCGGAGCACTTTCTAACCGAGACCTTGGCATCTTCCTTAGCAGCAGTCACTGTTCCAATCGCCTACAATAAAAAAAATGTCTCCATGCATGTAACACATCCTACAGATATTACAGTGTTTAAAAAAAAAAGGTGCAAAATCTATTAATTACAATCAACAAAAAAAAAAAAAAGTAACAACAAAAGTTTAATAACAAAAGTAATAAAAAATCAAAATGCCAAGCAATACTGTTGCTGTTCTCTAATAATGGAAAAATTGCCGTGCAATGACACCCAGCAGATAAACCTTCAAATTCATGCAAGGTTGGCTTAACAAGTATAAAATTGTAGATAAGACTAGGCAAACATAGCCTAAGCATAATAATAGTTGTCCCGCAAAACAGAAAATAAAATGAACCTTCCTCACACACATCAAAACTGCATGATATAGAATAATACATTACAGAATAAATAAACTGATCAATGAATATAATCATAAATCCTTAACAAATGAAACAAATAAATTCAACAGATTATCTAATAAATAAATTAAGAACTAATTAACCCTTTCTTTACCTGGAGACATGTATGCCATGATAGACCTGCAACAATTGTACATTCATATATCCTCTGGTAAATGGTATTAAACGTGGCTGAGGATAAAGCTGGTTTTGAGGCAACTGGTCCGTGTTTTAAGAAAGACTATGATAAAGCTTGACATTCATCTTAATTTTGGCACTATGGTTTATATGGTACGACCATTTACAGACCAACGTTGCATTTCTGCCTTTATCCCCACGTGCGGACTAGTAATAACCATCGTCCTCTTCATATTGTCCCAATACCAGTGATAGACTGTTCTGGGACATCTATTCTCTCGACATAGCTGTAGCAGACCTTTCTAACAGTGATGAAGAGTTTATGCTTCCTAATGCCATGATCTTTTTCAATGTGATCATCAATATAAAAAACAAAGCAGGGTGAAAAGTTTGCTGATAAAATATACACCAAAAAGAAAGACAAAAGAAAGAAAGAAAGAAAGAAAGAAAGAAAGAATTAATGCAAGAAATAAAAGAAAGGTAGAAAGAAGGAAAGAAAGAAGACACAAAGAAAAAAAGAAAGAAAGAAAGAAAGAACAAGAAAAAGAAAAAGAAAGAAAGAAAGAACAAGAACAAGAAAAAGAAAAAGAAAAAGAAAAAAGAATAAATATACAAAATAAATAAAATCACATATAAAGTAAATCCCACATCATGGAAAGATGAGTTATTTAAGTAAGGTGCTTATGGTAGAGGCATAGTTTGGCTACATGGGACCAGATCAGTAAAGAAGGGATTAACATATTTTGTTAATAAATGAACGAATCAATTAAAATCACTACTACAACAACAATAATAGTAACAGCAACAACAATAACAATAATAGCAGCAGTAGCAATAACAATAAAAAAAAAAATCATATATCTACGCAAAATGTGACAAGAGTGATATCTGACATCAAAGATCGATCAGTTTAACAGATCATGCTAATCATCAACTTCACACACAAATAAGAATACCGGAAGATTGTGGTCCCTTGCGTACTCCTCTGACTTCCTGATGACAGATGGGTTCCCTGGATAGTAGCGCGTACCCTCTGGGAAGATCACCAACCAAGTCTGTCGAAAATATAGGCAGGAGCATTAGCGTTAAGAAAAAGACACAGACACACATAAAAAACACAACACATACACACACACACACACACACACACACACACACACACACACACACACACACACACACACACACACACACACACACACACACACACACAACACAAAAAAAAAAAAAAAAAAAAAAAAAAAACTTTCCAAATTCACAGTTCATTAAACGCTCATTTCAAACAACCTCACATGCAATTCGTGACAATAAACATGAATATAATAAGGAAGAGTCAAGTTCCAATACAAACAGCGCACAATACTAACAGGAATCTTCGGGTGTTTGAGGTAGTCCAGGGCTTCAACCATTTTTCCCTGATTGAATTTCCCACGTCTCACATAAATACAACCGTGTGTGTAGAAGTAGTGCCCGTAGAGTGGGATCAGTTGTAGCGTATTTTTCATCACATAGCGCAGATGTCCTAAGGATCCACCTCGGACAGAGACCATGTCAGCAACAAGCCAGTCAACTAAAAGAGAAAAAGTTTCCTTTTTAGTAAAGTCCTTAATAGATCCACACTCTACAAAAATAAAGGCAGTGCATTAATGAAATCTATTAATAGGGTTAAGTAAGAAGAAAAAAAGTGTGCTCATAAAACAGAATATTAACAATCTATCATATACTTTGAATCTAGTGGTATTTGTATACTATATATAAATAAAATCTAATAACTTATCATATAAATGAAGATCCAGATGACTAGTTGCTTGCAAAAGGTCCAAAATCTGGGCATTTTGCTTACATGAGTGGCAACTCTCTAGTGTGTATGGCTTATACGTCCAGCCCATTCGACTTGTGGGGTACCATGACTTTCCCTCCCATTTGCAACATTATCATGTCTTTTCTGTAGAAGCATTACCATTTTTTTCCATTTTCTAAAGTCTCCACTTGTCATCTGATATGCTGTATCAAGATGTTAATAGACATGGAAATAGTATCCTTCCTGGAGTTAACTCTCTTCCAGTAATGGTTCACAGATGGTATATTCCACACTCGTTTACTGAGGGAAATAATGCAAAAGCCCCTTCCTAAACGCCCACTGAGTCTAATCACCCTCTATAAGTTCTGAGTACTTGTGGTAAGTCATTTCCATCACCTGAATTCTCATCACCCTGGCCTCAGCCAAATTATTTCATGACAGTAGTCACACTACCCAGCCCTCTACCAATATCCTTCATGATGGGATGGCCACATCACCTGGATCCAAGGGGATTCATATAATTCTAATTTCATTATGATTTTTGTCTTTACCTGTTGATTGATGGTTGGCAAGATATAAGACACTTTCTCTCTTTTTCAGAGCTTCTACAGCATCACCATACAACACCACCTGCAATGGATAATCTTTTTATAATAACCAGAATTTTTCATCATATGCCATTAATATACAATCAAAATGAAGCAACATCAAACCAAAACCCAAACTCATTCTGGGATACTACCTCTAAATTTGTACATGTCTCAAAGAAAAAGAGAACTAGCCGCTGATAGAGAGAATAAAGTTTGTCGTCACCCCACTGGTATATCCAGGAAGGGAGGACTAGTGAAGCACCTCGCCACACAAGCCATATTGCAAGATATTCTGGGGCCACCCCAATCATCATTGCCGAACCAAACGCATATCTGGAAGGCAAAAAGTGTTTAATAATCATCCCCTTCAGTTATTTTCTTTCCACATTATAAAATTCTTAAAATCTGGAAAAGTATTGATAGTTTCCTTGGGATGTCTAGTGGTCTTAATCAGTGCTACTTGCCGACAGTGAGAATATCAGTACCTGACCCAATAGGTGGGGAGGGTATGAGGTATCCCAAGGAAATTGTAAAGTTAAATTATGTGATGTTCTTAGTTTTGTATATGCCGATTAGCACATTTTTAGAGGCTGCATCCCCTAAAAACTTCTTGTGGAGTTGTTGCCATCCCCTAATATAAATTCTATACCACATCTGTATTACAAGATGGGTCCTGGACATGTTTGCATGAAACATCTGTATGAGTAATACCACAACTCAGCTATGGCAGTAACTCCACCACTTCTGAAGACATAGGGCTCTGTGAGGGAATCATCTTTTCCAACTCACACAGTTGTGAGTCGTTATGGAACTTATGGGAGTATTCAGCTATTTGTATTCTGCTCGTTTACTGGTTCCACCAACTCACATTGCAAGATATAGTTAATGGACATGGCTAGGAGTCCAGTGATGCCAAATTTAATAGGTTTTATGGTATGGACCTGTTCTTAAAATACACTATCTTTTCAAGGTTATTTGAAAGGCATTGCACATTGTTATACAACCTAACTTTAAAATCACTGATCTTAATTTTACAGAATTGTATCATTATTCTCTAATGATAGACAACAATGAAATTCAGTGTCTTAAACAAAATAATTCATAAAACTATACCTACATAGATATGCACTGGTTATATAACCATGCATCAATCATATAGAAAAAAAAAAAGTAATTACAGGTGTAGAATGAAAATATAATATAAAACTACAATGCAGTTTGATGCAGCCATAGAGCATAAGGTAAATTTTGCCTGTAATGGACATAATTCTTAGAGAGGCCAAAAGTTATAGTCGTTGGCACAAGAAATAATCTACAGACATGAGCAATAATCCCTCAAAAAGAATTAAAAGATTGCGGAAGGCACTGCTTACACACAACGTTGACTCAGTGCTCCTGAGTTTCACCTCAATCTTGCCCTGTATACAAAGGTAAAGATATGTTTGCCGAAGGCTGTTGAGGTGCAGAGCCACCCATCAACCCTCCCTTCAGGTAGTGCCCAAAGGGCATATCCAGTCACAGCAACTTAGAGTGTTGCATAAAGTTTGTGACATGGAGGTTGGGACTTTGTCTCTTGCAAGTGCATCCGACTGTAAAACATTTCAAGCACAGCCTATGGCTTTTCCCCAGTGATAAAGAAAGATATTTGAATATCCTCTAATAAAAACATCCATTCTTGACATGTAATAGACCGATTCAGCATGACATACCCAACGAGGCTTGTTTACCATGATGACAAAACCTACTCTGTGAAAACAAACCCATTTCTCACAAAAACCTCTCATAGAATAATGAAAACTTGTGTTATCATCTTGAGCGAAAATGTCATACAAATACTTTGATAGGATAAAAACCAGAGAGAAAGTGTTATGAAGTGAAAATTGTGCAGCTCAACCCATTTACAACGGGTGTGACACCTGGAAAAATAAACATTGCCAGGCGTCCCACCAGTGTGACGCTAGATCGGAGCTTGCTTGGGCAGATTCCGGGCCGGCCCCATGCACCGATTTTATAGCTGCCCGGAAACCATGATTTTCGGTTTCAAAATGTACTGTTGCTTGTGGGTTAAAGAGTGTCTACTTGCTGATATGTGGATCGATGATCTTTCAGAGTGGCCTAACATTTACTGATTACTGCACCTAGCAACAAGCACTTGGTGAAAGCAAACCCTAGTTTGCTTAGATTCACTGTTCTAATCCAAGAATTTCTCTTATGTGAAAATGCCAAGAAGTTGGTAGCCATTGGTTGTTTGACCATAGTATGATTGGAAAGAAAAATCTAACTCTTCACATATTCCCAGATCACGAGAAGAAACCCGAAACTATGGGTTCAGGCCACAAAACACGTAAATGCTGATTGGAGAGCTTGGGCACCTGGTGGAAAATATGTTTACATCTGCTCAGAACATTTTATTGAAGGTAAGAGTTTAATTGATCTATACATTAACATATTACACCTTTTTTATTCTAATGTAAACATATTTTCCACAAGGTGCCCACGTGCTCCCATCAGCGTTTCATGGCCTGAACCCATCTCTTCCATTTTTCAGGTTTCTTCTCGTGATCTGTGAATAGGTGAAAGGTTAGACCTTCCTTTCCCATCATAATGTGGTTCGAACAACCAACGGCTATACAACTCCTCAGCATTTTCACGCAAAAGAACTTTAAATTATTGGATAAACAGAGAGAATCCGTAAGCATGCACTGTGTTTTTTTTGTTTTTTTTTTACTAATTAGGGCTGAACAAGCAAAAGAACTTTAAATTATTGGATAAACAAGAGAGAATCCGTAAGCATGCACTGTGTATTTTTTCTTTAACAAATTAGGGTTTGTTTTCACCAAGTGCTTAGTGTGTTCTCAAATAGGTCTATAACTAAAATTAAATGCTGAAACATGATTAATTATAACTCTTCCTTTGGAGTCTAAGTTCATGATTTATAACATATATCATACCTTTAATGGTCCCTTAGAGACTCATTTCCCTTGAACCTTTCCCTTTGAACTCATGGTCTTGTTGCTATGCTCTTTGATCATGATAATACACCATCAAACAAGCTCAGGATATAAATAACCAAGGCATTACATAAGTTTTCCCTTTGTCGAAACAGGGGAAAAAAATCAATATTAAACAAGAGACACAACCAACACGACCATAAATACTTTACAACAAAACCTCCTCCATTCATCATAACAAGTGCCCACGCATCTACAGCAGAGAGAGGAAAAGAACACATTACACACATAACATTAATCTTATCTCGTCACTTGAACACATCCTGTTCACCAAAGCAACTGTTCACACATCTCCCTTCACTCTCAACTCAACACGCCTACGCCCACGCCCACGCACCTGGCTCCTCCTATGATCGTCATTCTTCTCATAAAAAAATTAAAAGTACCGGTCACCAACTACACTGTGGTAGATCCGACCACACTCTACCACAGTTTGTTGTTGTCGTCTGCTCTCATGACGGCGTGTGGGTGCCAGCGAGTGTTTTTCTCCGTCGTTATGTTCGCTTGTTACAGCCTTCTCTCTTTTAATTATACTCTCTATGCATGCTACTGAGAGGATATGGATAAATGTGGGTGTAATGTGTGGGTATTTTTTTGATCCTGTGTTATGTTGGGGGATTTAAAATATAGTGTTATATTCTTGCTGGTCACTGATACCGATGCGCATGTTGACAGATGAAGGACATGTTGCGTCAGTCCAGGCCTATGTCTTATCTTTTGATAATTGACTTCATTTATAGTTTTAACAGTTATCTTGAGAGGACAAACTGATTTCGTAGTGGAATAAGAAAGTACCATTTCTATAAATCATAGAAATACAGCAGCTGAATCTTTGTAATTATGAATCATCTCATTCGTAACTCCACAGCCGCATTTTCAAACCATAAAGACAAAAAATCCCTAAGTACTCTAATCCACCACCATAACACGATCTATTAAACCAGGATTTATAGGAACGAAAACCCCTTCTACACCCACGCCTTGACACACCCAAAACCCATGACGAAACTTCCTTCTCAAAACTCCCCTCACCTCATAAACTGCAAGAATGTAATCCACAGCGCGGATATCTTGCTCGGAAAATCCTTCAAGACTAGTATATTCGCCATCGCCCTTTCCCTCCTGCCTACAAAAGGCGCCGGTAGTGGCTTTTTTCCCTTAAAAATAGAAGTTCCGTCAAGGGCGTTGCTATCGTCGGGCAATAAGCAACCCCGTAACGCTTTCCCCTCCCGACACGTGACAGTCTAGAAGCGCAACTGACAACCTCGGTCATGAAAATACATGGACTGCTGGGGAACCGATGCCAGATACTCTCATGTATTTCGAATATTAGATCCTTTCTCGTCGGGAATATGAAAGTAGAAACTTTTTTTTAACGTTTATTTCAGCTTCGTTTAGGAGGTAACGGTGGACGTATGAATCAAACACGCGTTCTTTCTAGAATTTCGCTTCTCTGTCTTTGCCACAATACGTCTGTTTTTTATCGTATTATTCCAAAATGCAAGAAATTCCAAGAGAAACTGATCACTGGTTGCCGATATCATATTCCATTGGTTTATCCGCAAATGGCCGCCTCATGAACTTGTCTTTTTAAAATTAAATCTTACATAAATGTTACCTGAACTTTTGTGAATATGTGAGTATTTATATACGTACTGTAGGCCTAAAAAAATGGAAGAATGGTCGACAAAATAAGGCCATACCTGTATATGGCCATTAACGCATTAATAATTGAACAAGGCACGGGTGTAGGAAAAAACGAGAAGGAATGGAAGACACGGAGGAGAGAGAGAGAGAGAGAGAGAGAGAGAGAGAGAGAGAGAGAGAGAGAGAGAGAGAGAGAGAGAGAGAGAGAGAGAGAGAGAGAGAGAGAGAGAGAGAGAGAGAGACAAAGA